AATGATAATGGCAATATTATATATGTCCTTATAAAGGAAACATTCGGCATTCATTGTCCCAGTACGATATACTGATATATTTGAAATTTATAAAAAAGGCTTAAAACAATAATTCCAGAAGAATTGGTTTTAGAATTGGTAGCTGTTAATACTACAAATCCATCAGACCTACATGGGGGTTCCTTTGTAACCTGTTTTGAAGTACTGTGGAATGTCAGCATCTTGATTCTATCATTATTTTTCTCTTCTAGACATTGGATGTCCATTTTAATTGTTTAAAGTCTTGGAAAATTTTTCCGTTGTTGGTATAATTCTTTGATATTCTTTCCAGCGCCATACGATAATGTTCGAATGAATATACATTCGCGAATATCTACAGACTTCACTGGCTCAATGCCATTTCGTCAGCAAAACGTTTACATATATCTTACAGATTAGATATTTCAAAGATTTATATATGTATATATACATATATCCGTATAGATATATCGATCTGGCGATATGCATATATGTGTATATATAACTCGTTTTTTACAGGATGACGTTTGGTTATGTAGCAATACATATATATGTATGGGCAAATACTATACATATTCTATATTGAATCCCTATATTCTATACATGTATTATTTATATGAATGGTATATATAATTAGGTATTTATGTATTTGTATACATACTAATAACTCATCCTACATATTTATTTATTTAAGGTAGAGTGCATATATTTTGCCTTATATTTATGTCATTATATATTGTTATTACATATCTCTTTGTATCATACCCCATTTAATATGTATATGTTAATAAATTGGATATATATCCATTGATTTCTAAATTTTTATTGATATCAAAATACAGTACTGTCTCATTTTTTTTAATTTTGGTTCAAGACAACAGAGGTTCAAAATTTAAACATTTCAATTTACAATAAAACTACATGCAAAATTTAATAAAATATGATCTAAGATTTCAGTTTAATCCTGTTGGCTCATTGAAGAAAATGAATTCTCAATGTGAAGCTGACACAAAAATGTTATCTGACATGTTTGTGACACAAACAATCTAAAAACAAAAACAAAGAATATTTGAAATGAAAATGAAACATATATTCAAATTCAATGGTGGGGTAGATGGAGTGGGTTTGTGTCCTACTTTTGTACAAATCTTGTCATACCAAAAAAAGAACCACTCCCCACAACTCAAGAAGCCTTTAATTCTTTACAAAAAAATGCATTCCTTTCAAATGTTATTCATCTTTATGATTAACTCAGGTTTCTCAAGAACAAGAGTTGTAAATAAGTTATTTTCTTCAATCTGTTTTTCTTTATAAGAAATACAATAATTCTACTAGTCTAAAAGACATTTTAATTTTTATTACAAAATTTATTACATACTGCTTTTGTTAATAAATTTTAGGAGATTATTTAAGTATCATATTTTCCATAACCCACCCAATAATTTAGCAGGGAATATTGGGGTAGGGTAATAATATTCAACCAATGATTCAGCCAGAAATATATTGTTCTTTTTATATTTTAACATTATTTTGATTTGTAAAACATAAATTAATCATTCATAATCATATATATTTCATTCTGAAGTCATGTGGATAGTGTATCAAACAAAAGCATTTAGATATATTAGTATAGTACTAGTAACCTGTAACACCAAAACCTATCCCTGCAATAAATTCTAATTTTTCAAATCCACATTAATCCTACAATTAATAAACAAAAACTTAATTTGAATCCATGAAATCCCTTTCCCCAGATTTATACAAATTAATCAAAATACCTACCATATTTACATATAATTCAATCTTCTCACCAATTTGAATTTTAACAAAGCAATTCTTAGCTTATAAGAAATTAAATTAACAAAGTACCATATTTTATAGCATATAAAATATTTTTGGGAACTCAGTAAAATGTTCTTATGCTATATAAACTGAAAATTGTTTTATACCCTAATACCAAACATAAAATCCTTTTATTATAATACTTTACAATGAATTAGCTGTTTTTTCTTTTTTTTTAAATTCTAGACTTCCATTTAAGTATTTATTCAAATCAGAAAATTTAATGATTTTTTTTGTAACTAATTTTTTTTTTTATGCAAAAGCTTTCTCTTTTTTGTTCTTATCTTTTTTGTCTTCAGGTTGATTACATTTGCTGTTATCATGAGTGCTTTACCTTAAGGTGTTCCATTTTTAACTCTATGATTTGTTCAATGTTTGTTCTTAACTGTGACTTCCTAGATTTGCAAATGGAATTTGTTGTTATTTCTTTGCTCTGGACTTGCTTAGTTTTTGTAGTTTTTACTTTTTGTTTACATATGACTGGAAGGTGATTACCTATACAGTCAGTACTTGCATATGTTTTAAAGTACAAAATTGCATTTCTAAAATGGTAGATGATGGTTAAGTCGTCAGTCCAGGTTTTAACATCTGCTGCTGCTACTACTTTAGTTTAAAAAGTACTTTAATCTCAACTCCAAAAGAAAACCAGGAATTTCATATTTTCTCTCTTTTCTTTCAACTGTGATATTTTTTTTTTACATTTAATAACAAAAATTTGGAATGAAGGAATTGACTGTATTTTCAGACTCAGATACACTGACAACTGTAACACTTTCCTCAGTAGCCATTTCTAGTTAAAAAATATCATAATTAAATATTTCATTATCTTATTTATATCATCAAAATTATTTTCACCAAAATTATTGTGGATGTGCAGGTGGTGTAGATAGCAGCTTGAAATGAGAAATTAGAGAACAAAGTTTGAATTCCAGTCAATTTCATTACATTCACTTTCAAGCAAATACCCTTGAAAAATTAATAATGCAATATTCACTTGCAAAAAAAAAAAAAAAAAAAATTATTCTTACACTAAAAAAAGTTTTGGCTTTAAATAATCTACAAAGTGTTGATAAATCATAAATCCTCAAAATATTAAAAGATTGTTTTAAATTAACCATGTGACTAAAGTAGAACTTGCACTTCACTTTTATGTATTTAACAGAAAATTCACTTTTTATAACCTCCTCACCTGAGATATTTACTCATTTAAAAAATTTGTCTGACATAAGTAAATGAATTATGTGAATTTAACACTCACAGGACATGTTGAAGGCAAGAGGGAGAGGAAAACAGTGAATAACCTACCTAATGAGTTCATGAGATGGGAGGATGATAAGGGACAAATGTTGTTTAGGGTTACAAAGTACAGAAAGCTGTGGAGAGCCATGTTGATCATGTTCTAAAGGAACAAGAAGAGAAGAAATTAATTGTATATCTGAATGAGACTTTAAAACTTAATTTACTCATCATATTCAATGCAATTTAATGCTCTGGATTCAAATTTTTTAAGAAAAGGATTTACATTTTCATTAAATAATAAAACTTACAGTAATCATCATAAAAATGAATTTATCATGAACCAAAAAAAAAATTTGCTATTAAAAAATAAAGTTTAATCAGCTTTAGATCACATAGTTAATCTGTATCAATGGTAGGAGTGGCTGACATCTGAAATCACTTTAGCATGAGAAAATAGTCATTATGTGTATAATAATACCATAGTTATGTATATGTATATGCATACATATATATATATATATATATATATATATATATATATATATATATATAAATAAATACCTTTACCTTTCAATGTTCCACCTGCTAATAGTAGCTGGTGGAGCACCTCATTACATTCCCAACTCTTAACCTCTTCACTGATTAACAACTTATTCAGTAAACCTGTCTGAAAAAATGTTTTACTCAAGTCACATTTAGTATTTTTTTTATCTTGTATTTAAAATCTATATTAATTTGCAGATTAATACAATTCAGTATATTCTTAAAATGCAAAATTATATTAAATTCTTATTAGACACTGTGTCTAATTAGACTTTAATTTCCCAAGACTGACACATTATTCTGATCTTATACTGACCTTTTTTTGTGACTTTTAACACTTCCACTACTGTCAATGTATATATATATATATATATATATATATATATATATATATATATATATATGTATATATATATATATTCTTAAAATGAAACTGGTTGGTCTCTAGCATTTGTGTTACAAACTAACTTCTGCTTAGTGCTATTTCCAAATCAGCACAGACAGTAACATAATATATAACCTGTTCTGTGACATATTTTCATTGTGTTGGAGGTGTCATTTAGATTACAGAGTATCTGGTACCTGTGAGAAATCAACATCTTTATAGTGATTTATTTCCAATAAATGACAATTTCCTATTTTTTCCAAAACAGGCCAACACAAAAATGCAGCAGTGATAGACTATTAATAATATACTATTAATAAAAAATAATAGTGAGTTCAATGACGAATCAACTCCTTACATAATCAATATGTGAGACTAATCTATTTATTATAATAAGCAAATTAATCCTCTGCTTTGAATCTATAGGCTCTGTAGATATTTGATAAATTTAGCTTAGTCTGACACAAGGCCACAGTTGTCAAGGATATAGTGAGTATTCAGCAGATGAACTTGTTCTTTTTATGATTCAATATGATTTAACTCTTTAAGGCTAGACATGCCCAAATGTTCCATGTTTCATATGCTTAAGCATACAGGAGTACCTGAATGCACCTGCAATTCAGAATTGGTAACTCTGTATTTCAATAATGCTAACACTCATCACATTACCAACTAAAGTACTGCAAATCTACTTTTACAAAGTTGTAAATTCTCAAAACCAATAATACAAAGGAGACTAAATTTAGTATCATTTGAAAGAGAAACAAATTTACTTTTATAAAAAAATTAATTTGTAATTCTTGATTTTCAAGAGTTTTTAAGCTATACCAATTTACTTGTACTAATGTTACATATTCAGATTTTCAACAATTCACTCAGGACTGCAGTGATTTAACAACTAAAATCTTTTAAGGGCTGACAGGGTTAACCCCTTTCTTCTGAGTTTATAAAACAAGTCAAAAGAAGGAGCTTACTGCCATATCATGTTGAAACACTGGATCTTACAATCTCCAAAGTTAAGCAACATTGAGCCTGATCAGTATACAGATGGGTGACCACTTGGGAATACCAGATGCTATAAGCTTGGATGTGCAGGTGGTGTAATGGATAATGGCTCAGAATTGTTAATTGGAGAGCCAAGTTCCAATTCCTGTTGGGTTCATTATATTCACTTACATGCAAATACCCTTGGGAAAGGTATGAATCCAACTCTTCTCCCTCTTCAGCTATGGGTTAATTAGTAATCTTATGTCACTAAATCATTATTATCTCAAAAAATTTTATAATTCCAAAATATTTTCAGCTTTAAATAACCTCAAAAGGTTGACAAGCCATAAAAAATGAATCAATCAATCAATTTTTTTTCCCATTGTCCACTAAGGAAAAATTTAGTAATTTTGATTGGGAAAATTTTCCTGAATTTTAACTATTTTTCAAATAGGTCCAGGGATGAGGTGGTATTTCAGCAAAATCTTATATTCTTAAACTAAAACTTATTAACCCTTCAAACCTTAATTTCAGATGGAATTTAAACTCCCATTGGATTGATTGGCCTTTTTTTTACATGGATTCATTTTTGTCTGTATTTTAAGAAAAAAGAATTTAAAATTTGGAAAACTATTTCGCAAAAGATGATAGTGAAAAAAAAAAAATTTTTAAATTTAAATCAGAAACTTTTCTGTCAAGATCCTGTTTTTTTTTTAGTTTTTTTTTTTTAACTTTGATTTATAGAAAAACATTATGGAGATTTTTTTATTGGGAAAAGTTTGTGCAGGAAGATTACTAAAATATTTCTGATTTAATCATTTAAATCAGGTAGAAAAATATTGCCAATGGTCAGGAATTTTTTTTTTCATATATAGAAATTCATTTTTATATGTATATTTAAATATATTTTATATATATATAAATTATAGATATTTAGATATTCTAGAACAATTAAATAAAATAATTTGCAATTGAAAAGGATTAATACCTATGTCCTGTTTAAGGTCAAAGTATTTATTTTAATCACTAAAAATCCTTCATCCTGTTTTTAAACATTTTGATTATATTTAGTAAATTGTTTGGCTTTTTTGAATTGATGAGTCAAAATGTTGTCTATAGAAGTTTTACCAATTTTTAAGCAGCTTGTTTTGAAATCAAATCAACAAAAATGATACAAAGAATAGTTTATTTTAATTTCACTGCCGCCCAAAGTCAGGCAAAATTTTTAATTGTAGTCTTATGTTAACTTATTAAAAACTCACCATAAAATAAGATTTCAAATGTAAGACATGATTCAAAATTTCAAATCAAGGTTTTATGTATTATTTAAGAATTATTGACCTTTACTTTTGTATATATTCAGATGCCAATACATTATCATAAATTATAGTTAAATGAATACATTTATATTTATAAATTTTTCCTGAAACACTGATTATATGATTTTTAAATTAAAAGGAAATCCACGCGACACAGCCTTAAATAGTACCTTCATTAAAACCACTTGAGAATACTAGGTGCTTAAGCTTTGATGTTTCAACTGGTTTAATTGATAATGGCTTGAATCAGTTTATTGAATAGTGAAGTTCCAGTTTTTTATGGGTTTATTATATATCTTATATGCATTTCAGGAAAGATATGAATTCACAAAGTTTTCTCCCACACTACCATTGGTTCATCAGACGACCTTTCACTAAAATGATAATATATCTCTCCAAAAAATCATAAAACCTTTACAAAATATCAGTTTTAACATTAAATAAATATGAAGATCTGTTCTATAAAACAAAAAAAAAAAAAATTAATAAATAAATAACCATTATAAAAAGTAAAAATTATTTCAAATTTTGTTTTTTTTTTTAAATTCATTTCCCAAAATAGAATTTAATTCAACATCATGATGAAGTATTTTTCTTAAACTTTTTTTTTTTAATTAATTAACCTTCAAGGAATTTAACATTTTATATCGATTTAATTTCAGTTTTTTTAAAAGTATATATAGATATATATAGATAATATAAAAAAAAGTTTAAGAGCAAGGAAAAAAATTACTCACTGTGTAAAGATCAAAAATTGTGCTAGCAAAAAAGAGAAATAATGAAGTTCTTTGAATTTAAAGTTATTGCTCCCCTTTTCAGAGTTCAACAAGACAAAACGTTAATATTCTATAAATCAATTAAAAGAGGGGGTGGTTTTTAAAAATTTGTTGCAGTATAAAGATTAAACAGAGACATTCACATTTAAACCCAATAGTTTCAATTTATTCTGCATTATTTTGTTTTTTTTCGATCATTTAGACTTATATATAAAATGAATCAGGCCGATTTTCTTTCATATAAAAATTTTTTTTTTTTATGCTTTATGTCCTTTTCAGGTATGGATTCAAATTACATTATTCATTAAGTTTTGTTTTGAAAATCATAGTGTCACAAAAACTTTTCATATTTTTGATAATTTAAATTTCAACTTTTTAATCTAAATTGCTTTTAGTTTTCAGTCTCTGTGCTATTTGATAAATTATAGGTCACTAAAAATATGATAGGGGGTTTATAATTTATATATAAACGAAGATCTTGATCTTTAAAAGAACAAAAAGTTTGTTTTAATTTTGTAAAATGAAAACAATCTTGTTGTTAGCATGAAACCATTTCTTCTGTTTGGTTTAAAAGAACGTGTTCAACCAAATAAAATTTTTTCAAAAATGTGGAGTCAAAAAAAACAAAGCACTTAGGAACTATCGTTTTAATTCAAGAAGCAAAAACCTTAACATATAATTAATACAATGTGATACTTTTCGGCACACAGTCCATGCTCAGAACAGTTCCAAAAAATTTCTCCATAAAAAGAATTTAAACCTAAAAAAGAACTAAAACAAGGAATCATCTTGGCTTGTTTAAAATTCATTGAGATCAGTTCTGACCATGTCGCATTTACATTTGAAGGGAGTTAATGAGGTGTGAAACCTCTATGACCCTATATCTAAATTATTGGTGATAATGATGATCATTGATTCCTCTGAAAAAAAGATGGAAAAAGGGAGGCCACAGAAAGGTTGTCAAAATTTGCATAAAATACAATAACCTGCACATCATATGTAGCAGATCCTGGATGTTTTGAAGAATTTGATCCTCTTCTTGTCCATCCACCATCCAATAATCCAGATCTTTGATTTTCTCTGCTTCCTGTTTATAAACTTTAAGAAAAAAATTTACTACTGTTGATCGATTCAGCAGCAAAGATGAGTTTTTCAATGACCAAACATAAATTTTCTTTTACCAAGAGTAAATAAAAAAAAAAATTTCCTACCAAGTGTATTTAATTATACTTATTTAGGATAGTATGTATATATCACATTTTCTTTTCAAATTTTGTTGTGTTGTTACAGCTTTCATTTTTATCCTATGAAAACTCATCCAAATGCTGAAAATTTGGGTTAAATAAAAATAAATTTAAAACTTTTTCTTCATAAATAGATAAATAAAAAAAATTCTAAATTTTTATAAAAAAGCAAGCAGTAAAATCCATGTTCTATTTTTTTTTATATAAAAACGGTGCATTAAAATGTTAAAATTTACATTTTCTATTGAAAAGAATTTATAAAATACTGTCCAACTGAATCCCAAGATAATCAAAGTTCTTTATATAAGGTTTGCTTGTTTTTGCTAAAATATTTGTTTTAGTTTTAAAATATATATTTTAAAATAAAAGAAATTTATTCTATATTAAAAAATAAAATAACAAACTCATACAAATTCGTGTCTTTTCAGTTCAATATCATCAAATCACTCATAAAATCCTTTTTTTTCTGCCTGTTGTACACATTGATACTAATTTAATCCATTCATATCTTCCGAAGATGAATTTACTTGGGTGCAGGCAGTACATCTGAGTTATTCTAAATATTTTTTGAAGTTTGAATTTAGGAAATCAATTTTTTAAAATTCGGTCTTTTTAACATTTTAAGAATGGCATCAACCATGAAATATCATCCCTCAGAAAATTTTTAATATTCTTTAAAATGATTTTTTTTTCATTGAATCATAAAAAAAAGGCAAATTTTTTAAATTCAAACTTTTTAAAATTTTTCCATAGTTATGCCCGAACTTAAAACGATTATTAAGAATTTATAATAAAAGATTGTGGGGTATAATGTGTCTTTTATATCTGTCAATATACTTACTTAAAATATTTCTAAAAATTAAAAAAAAAAAAAAAAAGGGTTTTAATATAATTCCATTTATTACAAGTGTATAATTTTTTTTATTTAATAAAATATTATAATTATCTGACCGTTTTATGTATTAAAAAAATTTTATTGTCAATGCAGATTAAAATGTCCATTTGAAAATTCAATAAGGGTCAACTATGTCTTGAAATTTGGGTCTAGTGATCTAAACTAACAAATCTAATTTTAAAAAATTTTTTTTTATTTAATTTCAATTTAATATTTTTTTAAGTCACTAAAATCGCTTTTAAAAAGCAAATTCTTGTATCTTTGTTTGCTATTAAAAAATCAATATTTTCCTTTTTATAAATTTAGATTATCTTTTTTTAAACATCACAATATTTACAAAAGAAATTTTCAAGATTAAATAAAACCAAATAAAGGCATTCAGGATTTTAAAATATTTTTAATAATTTTTCCTAATATAGAAATTCCTTTGATATTTCCTGCATTGTCAATAATAAATTTACCTTTTTTTCTCAGTTTTAACAAAGAAACATACTCTTTAAGGCATCGTTTGTTTGTTAATCCTACTGGAATATTTTCCGTCGTTATTTCTTTAAAACAATATTTTCATTTATTTGTCAAAAACAATTTCTTTTTGCTGTTGTAAAATACTAATCATTTTATTTTTATAATGCTATATAAGGAATTTCTCTCTTTCAAATGCAAGATTATATAAAAAAAAAAAAAATTTTTACATTTTTCTTTTTTATATATAAATTTACAAACCATCTTATAATTTGAAATAAACGCTAAATCTTAAAAAATCATATCCTTTCAAATCTCTATCTATAAAAGGCAGGATGTGTGTGTGTGTGTGTGTGTGAATGCACAGCCGCAATTTTCAACGGATTTGCACCAAAA